AGGTTCTTTATTTTTGCAGATTTGTTTACAAACACAAAGCTTTAGAAAATAATTTATAAGAAAAAGAAAATAATTTTTAATAATATTTTAAATAAAATTAACTTTAAGAAGGGTAATGTTAAAGGGTATTAAAATCATATGGAGGTTGATTTCATATTTATTTTTCCCCTCCAAAAATCACCTTAGAACAAGATTCCTTTATTCGAAGGCAATCACACCTTTCAGATTTTGAACAAATATTTTTTGCCGATTTTGAAGGGTCTGCCTCACAAGAACACTTTAAAAATTGTTTTTTTTAATTTAAAAATTAATTTCTTCTTTACTTTGCAAATTGCTTGATTTAGACAATCACCTCTATATCTTTAAATTAATTTATTTATTTAATAATTTAATTAATTAATTACCTAGCAGATTCACAATGTTCATCACACATTCTTCTAGTTGCAAAACAAGGACAACTTTAAATATTAATTAATTTATTTAGCATTAAATAATTATATTATTATTTACCTATTTTGGCTACAACGATTTTGCTAAAAATAAAATAAAAATTAAAAATTAATTTATTAGAAAATTAATTACCGCAGCCGAACATTCACAACAAAAAGGCATTGCAGGAATTGCTGCATTTATTGAATTAGACACTTTAAAGAAATTTTTTAATAAAAAATCCAAAAATTAATTCAATTAAATTACTTGAATTAACTCCTTGGTGCATAGGGCCTCCCTGTGGAGAGGACATTGTATTAATTAAATTATTATTATAATTGTTTTCTGGCAAGTGATTAATATTTTGTTGCTAAAAATAAAAATTTAAAAAGCCTCTCTCTCTAAAAAAGCCTCTCACATTTGTCGGATTAATGTAATATAAGGGTTGAGTAGGTACAAGGATTAAAGAGGAAGATAGTTTATGTGTCCGGTGACCGACAAGGCTAGTGGCTGTTGAAACATCGATACTGCTACTTTAAAAGTATTTTAGGATAACTTAAAAAAAGTTTTTGTTTTTACCTACAAACAGAATCTGCATCAACTACAGAATGTGTTTTGGTATTTGAATATATTAAAGAGCCCGTTCCTGTATTTGCATTGCGCCAGTAGGAATTGTAACTAATAAGAAAGTACTTTTAATTAGAGTTGAGCGGGATCGGGACCCGATTTAAAATAGGGATCGAGATTTTGGAATAATGATCCAGGTCCCGGCCGGGACCTGGATCCCGCTTAACCCTACTATTATTTGTTAAGTATATTTTCGTCCACAAATAAAAATACTTTTTAAAGAGATACTCTTAATTAATCATATATCTAGATATTTTGTTGAACTGTTTAAACTAAATTTTGAGCACATAATCTGTTAAAACAGACCTTCGATTAGAAAATTATTTTTTTCATTTAGTTAATAATTAGGGTTAATATAAATTTAAGTTAGTTATTAGCTAATTTTAAATTTAAAAGAATTGAAGGAATATATGTATGTATTTTTAATGAGTTAATTGATATGAACAGACAAAGAAAATAAATAAGAATCTTTATTTACCAATCAGTATTGTAATTAAATCGGTTATTTGTTGTTGGTGTTGCTGTGCCAACCTGTAAAAGGGAAGATCTTGGATGTGCTAAAGGTTTGGATTGTTGTTGTTGATTAATTCCAAAATCAGCTACTGCACCTTGTTTTAAATTTAAATTAAAATTCCTTTTTTAATTTCTTACAACTTTTCTCTTCAAAATTTTCATCATTATTAATATTATTATTTGATTTTTCTTCAATAGAAGCGATTGGAGGTACTTTACCAGTAATTAAATTTTTATCTGATTTGTTGCTTCCTCGACGTTTTTCCCACTTTAACTATTTTAATTTAAACAATTATTTTTAAATGTTTTTTTAATTAAAAAATAATAAAGTTTTTAATTTTTGGAGAATTAAAAAGATTAATATTTATAAATATTAGTAGATTTTGTGAAAGGATTATAATATGAAACTTTTGAGAAATATATTCGAGTAATAAAACTATTAAGGAATATATTTGTATAGAAGTGGTAAAACTTTTCAAGATTGTGATTTCATTAAAAATATTTTTTATTCAAAAATTTCCTTAACCTAAGTAAAAGGTAAACAAAATAAGCAAAATTTTAATATTTCTATAAAATTTAGAAGAAAATAAATAAAATATTAAAGTAAAGAAAAAAATTTCAAATTCAAATTTTTTTCATAGAAAATTTAAAAACTTGACAACAGTATCAATTTATTTCTTAAATAAATCTTCACAAACATTATTGCTCACTTGGCAACAAAAACTACGTAATTAACGAGAAAAATAATGAATATTTATTTAAATGTTAAATAACAAAAAAGATTTTCAAAAAAAATATTTTTTAATAATTTAAAGGTAAAAATATATTTAGTTATTTATTAGCAATTAATTTTTAATATATTTACAATGTTAGAAGTAGCTTATTATTGATGGTAGGTCATAAGGGAGTGCGGCAATGGCAAATTGAGAAGAGTGTTGGAGACAGAAAATTGAGGAAAATAAAAGAGAGGAAAAGCAGCCAAAAGCTTTATAATAAAGTATTTATTTTCCAAAAACAGTCTCGATTGTATGCATGTGCCAAAGAGGAGGGAGAGTGAGGAGGGAGGGAAATTTTGTTTTGAAAAAAATTATTTTTGAAAAAGAGTTACTATTTTATCCTCTCAACGGGAGAAGTATATAGCCAAGTCTGCGCTCTCCTTTTTGCTATTTTCGTCACTAGTGCCAATATATTTTGAGTGAAATGAAGAGAAGAAGTATGGAGAAGAATTAGTTAAGAAAAAGCAAAAAGTAGAGGAAGGAGAGGGCACAACAAACAAGCAAGCAGCTATTCAATTCATTGACAATCGAGAATGGAAAGAAGCCAAAATAAGGTCATAACAATGGAAAGAAAATATAAAAATAGAAAAAGTGTTAAAGCATGTTTTTAGTGGAAAATTTGTTTTGAAAAGATTTTTAAGTAAAAAATAAATAATATATTTTTAATGAGGGAATTGATTATTGTGGCACACAAAGGTAATTAATTGCGCGAAAATATATAAAATAAAATAAATTTATTATATGTAGTAGATAAATTGTTGTTAAAGTTATTAAAAGTTATGAGTGAAAATGACAGTTTTTTTAGATAAATAATTGTGGATTTTTAAGATATTTTTAGTCAAAAAATCTTAAATTTATTTAGAGGGATAATTTTGGATAATTTTCAATTTGTAAAGCGGAAGCAGAAGAATGCAGAATAAAATAGAAAAACGGAAGAAGGAACGCGGAAGCGGAAGGGCCAAAAAACGGAATTCTGCAGAAGGCAGATGCGGATCAATCCCTAATATATACCTAACTAATTAATTAAAAACAAGTATATTTAAATTATAATTTGGATAATTTTTTAAAAATATTTTCAAACACTAAACATTTCTTTAAGAAAATACTTTAAAATAAAAAAGGAAAACTTTATAAAATAATCCAAAATAAGCATTTAAATTAGCTTAAAAGCATCTGAAACAAAATAAATTAAAAAAAGGGAAATTGAGGTTCTTAAGAAAATTGGTAAAAACCTCCAATTTTAAATTAAATATATTTATGTACTTATTTAAAGTAGAAAATACAAAGTTTGATGAAAAACAGGAAATAAAAAGGAAAGATTATAAAATGAAGGAAGGAGAAGTTGGATATTGGTGATGAAAAGTATGAAAAGTAACGAGCTTTTAGAAAATTATTTTCTAATTATTTGGAATATTTAAAAGATTTTATTATAAAAAAATTAAATTAAAAACTTTTAGTAATTTAAATTTAAAGATTTTTACTTTCTAATAAACCTTCGCTGCATTAATCTCGTAATAATTACCCCCCCCCTCCCCACCAAATAATTACCCCCACTAGTGAGATGTTGAAACAATAAACATTCAGGGTAATTTTCATGAAAATTCGGTAATTAATATTAAAAACATTTTAAAATATATTTAAGAAAATTTTAAATTTAGTTAGCAGATTTATTTTGTTTAATTTAAAAATTAAAAAATATTTTCTTACCATTGTTTTTGTTGTTTATTTAAATGCCGATATTTTATTTTTTTTTCTTGAATTAATAAAATTGTAACGGAGAATAAACGTTCCAAATTAATTATAAAAAAGAATTTAAAAGAATTTTTATTTTAAGAATTACCCAAAAAAATATATTGGTAAAAAATATTTTAACAAAAAATTATTGAAGAAAAAAAAGGTTTAACAAAAATAAAAGTTTTTTAAAGGAAAAAGTTGCAGAAGCACACCAAAAAACCAAAAATAAAATCCCCAGAGAAAATTAAAAAAAAATTTTTGGCAAAAATAAAAACAATAAATTTTCTTTGAAAATTGTAAAAATAACTTTAAATATTTTTATTGTCTTTTGGGATTTGATAAATAAAGCTTTGAACTTTTATTACTTCTGAGAAGTTATCTAATTTTTTTATTTAAAAATTAGGTATATAAAAAATTTTTCAATTAAATTAACTAATTATTTAAATAGTATTTTAATTTAAAAAGGCCAAAAACTCATTCTAAAATAAACATTTTACTCGGACAGAAGAATTTTAAGTAGACTCTATCTAAACTATATTTTATTTACATTTCTATAAAATTTAAAATATATTTTTCTAAAATTCTTTATAACATTTATTAATTATTACTCGTTTGTTGACTTTTTTTTTAATTTTTAAAATATAATTTTAAATTTTTATTTGATTAAAGATATTATTTCTATTTATTTGAAATGGAATTTTTAAAAAATTATATTTCTAATTTTGCATTGTTAATTTTTACAACATAGAGATCCTTTTTTTATTTGCAACATAAAAAGATGTTGCGAAGATATAATAATATTTTTATTTTTTAATTAAAGTAATAATTCCATTTTCTTTCAGTTTTCCTTGAATTTTTCAGTACATCAATTTGTTTGAGACTAAATAAAAATTTAATTATTTTTTCTACAAAATTTTATTTTTAAAAACTAACGAAACAAAACATTTTTAAAACATCATTTTGAATTCTTTTATTTAACAACAAATAAATTATAGGTTTAAATCCATTAGTAAATAACCAACCAAACATCCCAAAATATATAATATATTCATTTACAGGAAAAAACTTTAAAAAATATTTTTTAATTTTCAACATTAATTATTATTTACCTGCATATAAGCATAAACTGATCCAGCTAATATATTAAATGAACTTATTATCATTACCTGAGCGAATATCTATTTAAATTAACAAAGTGATTTAATTTCTACTATCTTTAACAAACATAAATAGTAGGTACCTTTTTCAGTATATTTTCTTTTATTTGGTTTAAAATTTTAGAATTAGGGTTTTATTAGAAAAATAAAATTTAATAAACATAATTCTAATTTTTAATTAAATTTACTCAAATATACAGTCGAATCTCACTTAATAATCTCACTTGATCTCGCAATCTCTTTTACTATATAGTAGTGTTATTCAAACGCATTTTTTCGGTATCGGTATTTTCGGTAAAATACCGATACCGAAAAAATACCGATTTTTTAAAAATTGTTTTGTACCGTATTCGGTATCGGTATTTCGGTAAAAATACCGCGGTATTACCGAAAAATACCGCCGTAATACGGTACTGTGAATAACACTACTATATAGCCTCTTCTATGTAGAAAAAATCTGCCAGTAAAGTGGGTACCGAAGGTGGGATAAAGAAATAAAATAAAGAAATAAATCTAATTTTGTAAATGAGATTTGACTGTACATATGTATAACCTTTTTCTGTGAAAAATTTGTTGATGTCGCTGCCGACATTAATGATTTTTTACAAAATAAACTGATAAAAAAAGTAATGTATAATCCTGGAAGGAACGTGGCAATCAGAAAATAGTTGGAAACGTCAATTGGATTTGTATACTTTAAATATAAATTTTAATTTATTTATAGAAAACAGACAATATTTCCAAAATCCTCAATATATCCAATATGTGGATTAAAAAACCAAGAAAAATTAATTCCATTAAATAATACAGGAGTGAATGTTGTCCCAAAAATAAATGAGTAAAGGAAGAGTATAATCAACCAAATCCAAGTTCTATATCCACGAAAAAGAATTTCACTAATTTCGGGCAAAGAAATTTTAATACAACGATTAAATGCCAATAAAATGGCAGAAACTGATTCATTCAACCATAAAGCTTGGAAAATTAAAAATATTTTAAATTATTAAGATCATGATTGGTCTTGTTTGGGGCAAATATTTTCCTTCCTCCATGCCCTACCTATCTATTCTTATACCCGTTTATGTTTCCTCATTCCTGAGCGGACCGCCTTAATTTAAAGCTTCTCACCATTACCAGCTACACCAGCAATATAAATTAAATTTGGAAAAGAACAAAAAACAGCCCCATATATTCCTAAAATAATTTTAATTAATTAATAGAGATCAATCAGAACCTAAAATTCCTGTTATTAAACCACAAATAAATAAACAAATAATATCATTAATTCCCATGTAGAACATAATTTTATAACAAGAATCCTCCAAATGTTTACGAAATGTATTCATCCAGAGAATATATAAAAACTTTAAAAATTTTAAATATGCAATGTAGGACAATCAATCCCGAACAAAAGTTTTCCGTCTAAAAAGTCCGGGGCTAGGCGAAGGAAAAATGAATTTTAAAAAACGTGAACTCCCTAGGAACTACAAATATTTTACTACAAATATTTTTAAAATAAATACCTCAAAAACTAAAAATAATATAAAGACAACACCAAGAAAAATTTTCTGTCGCTTTTCTAAAGGTATATCATCAATTCTGTATAAGCTACAATTATATAGACGTTGATATAAATATGGTTTAAATAAATAAATATCCATTTTTTGATTAATTAAATCCTCTATGTAAGGGGTTGTTATTTTTAAATTAAAAGTTAGGTGTGCTTTATTTATATTTAATGGATCCACTATATGCTCGAATAATTATCCTCTCTCAAATTATTACTCCATCCAGAAAGTACTGAAACAATAATTACCCAGGGTAATGCAGAGAATATATATTCGAGCATATACGGTACATATAATATGAATATGGCGTAAGAGAGATAAATGTTATAATAAGAAAATATGGCAAGAAATCTTAAAATTAATACATATGTAATTATAGAAAAGCCAAGATTTATCAGGTAATATGTATGTAAATGTTTCTTCTTTTCGCAAATATTTTCATTTTAAATTTTTTTTTAATTTTAACCTTTTAGGCTTTGACACGCAATTTGTAATTTTAGCCCACTAACTATAAATTATATCTGTGAGATAAAAGTCCGGGTATTGGGTAATTCGTGACAGGTACATATAATAATTACGCAATAATTATATACATACAAATATAATTATATATTAAATATATTTTTATTTAAATCGAAAAGTATATCCAGTGATTGAAAATGTTTTCAATAATTTTGAGCTAGAAGTCTGATCTACTGGAAATTTAGCCACACACTTTCAAAAGGCGCAAAATCAAGATGAGAGTCTAATTTATTTTTAAATTTTGTATTTAATTCTCTATGGCCATTTATTACAAAATTTATTTTAACAAAAAATATTTAAACAAAATAAAGAGATTTAAAAAGAAAAACATCTAATAAGAATAACCTGAATAACGAGATTTAAAATGTTTTTTTTTAGTTTTTTATTTGTGTTGAAAATTCTGCAGTAATTCAACAGATTCCCCTCCCCATTCTTCCCTTTTATTCCAACCATTTTCTTTTTCTAATAATTGTCTATAACAACCAAGAATATGTTCAACAAACTTTAAAAAATTATTTTTTTAATATCCTAAACAAATTTTCTACCTCAATACAGGCTAAATGAGCTAATGTAAGATGAAAATTTGGAGAACATAAACTGGAATTATTTTAAAAAAAAGTAATAAAATTGGAAGTAATTAAAACTTTAAAAAGAAACTTAAGTTTAAACTTAAAATAATCTTTAAAAAATTTAAAGCTTAATCTTAGATAACAAACTTGAATTTAGAAAAAAGTTTTACCTCAAACAATGAGTTGGAATTTCACGTTTAATTTGCAAAAATGAATTTATCGGCAAATTTGAATTACTATTAATTAAACTTGAAGAGGCACAACATTGGCCTACAGAAGTAATATTGTAGAAACGGGGAAAGCATTTAATAACACTTTAAAAAATATTTAAAATTAAATTTTGTTAAATTTCTCCTACTTTGTTAAGCTTAAAGGAGGACAACGACCCGATGACATTGCTTGTTTTATCTGTAATAGATGAAAGGATATTTATATTAAAATTTTGTTTCTTTCTAACCTGTTCTTTGCTTACATTCCTCGTACATAAAGGTCTATGGAAATTTAAATTTTTAAATTTCTTTTTAACAAAAATAATTACCGGCATCCAAAAGATTGTTCTTGGCAACATTCAAGTAATCCATCAAGTCTAGAATTATCCACAATAATTTCAGAAACTCCATCAATATGTACCCAACCATCCCTTCTATTCCCAGCTTTCTTTATTGGAGAATTATTATTATTTAATGGAACAACCTAAATAATTTTTTAATTAATTATTCTTTTAATTCTTCCAAACATTAAATTTTGGAGCTCTCACTAATGGACTTGTTTCTATATTTTCTTCTTGATTAAAAGGCATTTGAAGCAGACTGACACCATTCTGCTGTTTTACTGGATTTTCGAATTCTTCTTGTGCAAAAGAGCCACCTCCTCCGATTGAAGTAGGGATTTCTTTGTGTTGTTGCTAATTTATTAAACAAAATATATGGATATTAGACTGAAGACTATTTACCTTTACTTTATTTTCTAATAATTTTTCATTCATTCCCTCTTCTTCTAATAAATTCCCTTCAATATCACCATTCTTTACTAATTTTTTAATTCCCAATTCTCGTCTATTAGGTCCTCCTCCTTTTTGCCAATTTACTTCCTTTTTTAAATTATTTTGTTGATTTAAAGGAAAATTATCAGTTGTTGAAGAAGTAATTGAATCAGTAAAGAATTCATCAATATCCGACCAATTTAAATTATTTTGGATTGGGGGGATTATTTCCTTAAAAATTTAAAAATTTACACGTTAATGTGGCTAGAATGAGAATTAACGTTAACATAACGTTAATTCTCATTCCCCCCCCCCCCCATTGTTATATTTCTTTAATTAATTATTTCTATCTTTAATTTTCTGTCACCATTTAACCGTAAATATATTTTTTAACAATTAAAAGGTTAAAAGGACCTTTGTACTGTTTGTATATTTTAAAGGTATTTTAATTCTTCTTCCAACTTGTTTTTGTCTAGTATTTATTTGCATTCTAACAAGAACAAGTCTTTGATCATTTTGTTGTCTTTTCTTTACTGGGAAAGGAACTAGACGAGGTGTTGATGTTGTTTTTCGATTATATATTAATTTTAAAGAGAAAAATTTTAAATTGAAGAGCCGAATGATCATAGTTGAGAATATCGTAAATAAAAGGAAGAGAAAATTTTGGAGTAAACTCAATCCCGCCACTCTTCTCAATAAACGGCTTAAAATCATTTGCATTTACGGACAAGCCTTTGCCTAAAATGGATTTTAATAAAAGTTTAGTGGGAAAAAGTGATATTTTTAAATCAAACCTAGAATTGTGGCATTCTTTGTGAAGAAGACCGTAGGTCGTGAATATATGCCAGGGGGACTAAAAACAAAAGCAAGACCATACGTCGAATTTTCCTCAATTCCATTGTGGTCCAGTTGGATCTCCCCAAAACGTCCATGCTCAATAAACACCTTCGAAGCCAAAACAAATTTTATATCAATTGTTTCACCAAGTCCAATTCTAAGGCTGCAAAAATGAATTTCGTAAAAAACTTTAAGAAATATTCAGAAGTTCTAATTTTGGGTGGATATTTTCTAAAAATGAAACATTTTCAAGAGAAAACATGCAGATATTTATAGGAAGCCCTCCTTACTTTATAGATAGAAATTACCTGTTGCCACCAAACTCAGGCACGTGCGTAATGGTAATCTCAAAGAAAAACATGGAATAGCAGTAGAGGTCAGAAGCGCCACGATTGAATGATCCGGTAACTGTAGCCAATGTCCTATCACGATTGTAAGACAACGTGATGTTTAGGTCAATAAAACGCTAAAATTTAAATAATCATTGCAAAAATTTCCATCTAATTAGAAACTTTGAAAAAAACAAGA